TTCTCATTCTTGCTCTTGACCACCATGTCGTCGATGTATGCCTCCATTGTTCTGCCTAACAATGGTTCAAACATCTTGGTGACCATCTGTTGGAATGTTGCCCCTGCGTTTTTCAGGCCAAAGGGCATGACCTTGTAACAGTATAGTCCTCTTGGAGTTGTAAAAGATGTGACCTCCTGGTCTGGCTCATGCATGGCGATTTGGTGGTAGCCTCTGTATGCATCCAGAAAGCTAAGTCGGTTGTGCCTCGCCGTTAGGTCCACCAGTTGATCTATCCGTGGCAGAGGAAAGCTGTCTTTTGGGCATGCCTTATTGACTGGTTTGTAGTCAACGCAGACACGCCATTTGCCATTCTTCTTTGGCACTACGACCGTGTTGGAGATCCATCTTGGGTAGTGCACTTCTCTAATTGCTCCTGCCTCCAGCAGGTTACCTACTTCTTCCGCCACTATTTTGGCATGGTGAAGTGCCGATCGGCGAGTGCGTTGAATGACCGGCCTGGTGGATGGGTGGACATTGAGTTGGTGACTGATGAAGTTTGGGTCAATGCCTGGCATGTCGTAGGGTGTCCAGGCGAACACTTTGATGTTAGAGGTCAAGAATTCCAAGACCTCTAATCTCTCTGTGCTGGACAATGACGAGCCGATCAAGAAGAACTTATCCGGGTTCTTTTCATCTATTTTGACCTCCACCAAGTCCTCCACTGCTTTCTGGTCAGCCTCTTTGCCGACGTCCGCGAATAATTCATTGCCTTCTGGTTCTTCCACCGAATGAACGTATCCTTTGGCAGCGCGGCTGCCATTCACCGTGGCGAAACATTGCTTTGACATGATCTGATCTCCATAGACTTTTTCGATTACTCCGATGTCGTTGGGAAACCGCATTACTTGGTGGTAAGAAGATGCCACCGATCGCATGGCATGCAGCCATGCTCTGCCCAAAATGATGTTGTAAGTTGAGGGGACCTTCAATATCCAAAACTCCACTTGTTTTGTCACGCTTCCTACTCTAACTGGGAGAATTATCTTACCGACGGGCCATTCTGGCATGGAGTTGAATCCAATTAGGGGAGATACGGCAGGCGCCAAGTCTTTGTCTTGCAGTTTTAATTGTTTAAAAGTCTTGTAGTACATGATTTCACATGAACTACCCTGGTCAATTAGAATACGCTTGACGTCAAAATCCTTGACTCGGAGAGTGACGACTAGGGCATCATTGTGAGGACAGTATATTCGATCCAAGTCCTTATCTGAAAAAGACATGACGTTTGTTGCCTCTATTTTCCCCTTCTTGATGGCAGGTTGGGCACTTAGCACCTCTCTAAAGTGCTCAGCCTTTTTGATTGATCCCCTTTAATTGTTTTAAATGTTCTCGTAGTACTATGATTTCACATGAACTACCCTGGTCAATCAGAATCCCGCTTGACGTCAAATCCTTGACTCGGAGAGTGACGACTAGGGCATCATTGTGAGGATAGTTATATTTTGATCCAAGTCTTTATCTGAAGAAAAGACATGACGTTTGTTGCCCTCTATTTTCCCTTCTTGATGGCAGGTTTTGGGCACTTTAGCACCTCTCTAAAGTGCTCAGCCTTTTTGTTGATCCCCTGAGCTCGCATATACGCTCAGTCTCAAAGACATCCATGTATCACATTGTAATGCCTTGAGGGTAGGCGTCGATTGGCATTCGTTGGGGTTATTGTGACCTGGGGGGCTGGCTGCGTCCCTCCTTCAAATGTATTTGTCCAATGTGACCTACCGCCACCAAACTGCTCCAGTGATGCTGTCTCAAATGGTGTGCAAATTCTCAGTTCGGTGCCCTTTTTCTTTGTGGAAGGGTGCACCGCGATCTTTTCGTCATAGTCCTTCTGAGCTTCTCCTAGCTTGGCTGGCCACTTGACGAAAGGCTCATCTCTTATTTCGCTCAGAATCCGATATATTGGTTTTTTGAACACCGTGGTTATGGTAGTGCGGATTCTTAACCATCTTTTATCGGGGTCTTCTCCGTTATCTCGTCTCCACGTCCGTTTCTGTTACTTCGATCTAACCGTGTTACCTTGGCTGAGGTTTTCTTTTCTGGTACTGGCGGTCGCACCAGATTTTGCTTTGGCACGTGCGCCATCCTCTTCCACCCTGATGTGCTGGTGCACTCTTTCCATCAGGGCTTCCATGGTGAGGGGTGGCGTCATGGTGATTGAGTCCTTAGTCTGTTCCGACTGGAAGGCCTCTTTTATACTGTGCAATGGCGAGATTGGTGGGGCAGTCCCCAATCTGATTGAATGTCTCCCAGTAGCGACTGTTGTAGGATCTTAGGGTTTCTTTATCGCCCATGTCGATGGAGAGTTAGCTGGTCGATCTCCACCGGGGTTTTTGTGTTTGTTCGGAACCTTGTCACGAAGGCTTCTGCCAATGTGGCCCAAGAGGCTATGCTGCCTTCTGGTAGTTTCTCGAACCACGTCAAGCCTAGGTCGCCAAGACTTGATGGGAAGAGTATGCATATTAAGGCCTCGTTTCGCCTGTATACAGCCATGACTTGGCGAAAGTGGGCTCAAGTGTGAGTAGGGATCTGTCTTCCCTTCATATGCAGTGAATTTTTGGCTGAAGGAAGCCTGATGGTAGGGGCGCGTTCTCAATCGCCGGAACAAACGGTGAAGTCTTGTAGCCTTTGCTAATGCCTTGTCCGCTGGTTCGTAGGCAGGGCCGCGGTATTGACATTCCAACCTCGACGCTTCCATGCGTCCGAGGACCAACCGCTGTAAGGCAGAAACTCTGTGCGGATCCGGCGCCCTATGGCATCCTCCTTGCATTGTGCTTTCTCTTCGAGCACGGTTCGTAAGTCGGATGATCTGCGTAATTCCGTTTGTCTAGATCTGGTTTGGTGTGAATGCGAGGGCCAATACGTGCTTCCTTCAAGTATGATCTTTCAGATCTCGTCCTCTCAGACCTGGAGTGACAAGTTCTGGAAGACCAGGATTGAGTGTCACCTGTCGCTGAGGCTTCTGCTCTCTCCTTGCGATGGGTGTATG